ATTCTGGATCCTCAACGAAGTGTCTTGATCATCTGAAAAATAGCGGGGAAAATCTACAATCAACATTAGCACTGAGAGCACATGCAGACGGGACTTGAATGAAACTCAACATAACAGAAATGCATTGGAGATGAAGTTAAACCGGGAGATTTCTTCTCATACCTGTTCAGCCAGCCATGATGTGCTTTACAAAAGCTGTGGGGAAAGACAAGATCTAAATCAGTATCCTGTGCTAATGCATGTGTAGTCTACACTCAACTGTTGCTATTTCTATTCTCTGCTTTATGTAGTTTGCATTTAATGGGAGAACAATTTACACACATCCAAAGTCATCCTTGAGAGTTTCATAGATAGTGTTGTACTAGAAGGATCAACACTGCCATCTAGAGGCCAGGAGAACAAGCTCATTCATATCACTTTTACTACATTCATAGACATAAACTGTGATGTTATCGCTCTGTTCATAACAGATGTTGATCTGTAAAGTAGCATGACTGACTGAAGGAATGAAAGAGTTGTAAAAGTGTGTAGAAACGGACCTTCGTAGTTTATACAGCCGTTGGCATCCTCCTGTCCAGCCATCAGCTGCTCCACCTCATCTTCCTTCATCTTCTCACCTGGACACACACACACACACACACATTTCCTCTCAGTGATATGCTAGTCAATTTAACAAAGAAATGCATGTAAATTAAATTAAATGTGAAATTTTGAAGTAGAAAAAACTGAAATGTTATTTTCTAATTAAAAAATATTTATTTTCTAATATTAAGGAAAAGCTCTCCAATAATCTTTGTTTTATTTAAATTATTACTATATTGTTTACATTGAGAATCAAAATATTAGGAATGATTTTGAGGAATTAAAATTGTTTTTGTCATTGACATTTGAATGAATAAACATTTCTGGAAAAAAACTCTTAATATCTTGCACAATTTGCTTTAACAAATGAATTGTTTTAATGACAAATAAATAAGACAAATAAATATTTTGTTGAATAAAAGTGAGACGAAACCCAATGAAAAGGCTAAAACCCATCTCACAAAACTATGTTGAAACAGCCTGTTCTCACGTAAATGCGTCTCTAGAGCACGCAGTGTGTATTATCGTGCAATTTATTCGCGAAAATGAGTTTTTACGTGCATATGATACGCAGTGTAATACACACGCACCCCACACCACTACTAACCCTACCCTAACCAACCCATGCGTATCCCTATGCACGTAAAAACTCATTTTCGCGTATAAATTACACGATAAACACACTGCGTGCTCTAGAGACGAATTTAGTGTGATCGGGTTGGTTGAAAGAACCTTTTCCGGTAACACTTTATAATAACTGCACGCTATTAATCATTAAGTAAGCATGAGTAAACAGTTAATTCATCATTTATAAAGCATTAATAGACATTAATAAGCAGTTTGTAAATACAGCTATAAATACTTTTTTCTTGATTTATAAGCATATCTATAATGTGTGTAATAATTATATTTTCATACTTTGTTAATGATTAATTAATAATTTCTAAATTAAGTATAGCATTATTTACAAACCAGTTATTTAAGAGTTGTCAGTCATTCATAAGATCACTTAGAAAGTGTAAGTAAATGTAGTAAATACAGGTAGTTATAAAGCATTTAGTAGTGGTCAGTTAACTATTTTTGTGAGCTCATCTAAAGTGAGGACTAATGCCTTGTAAAGCATTTATAAAGGAGATTTAAAGATTTAAGTTTTCTTCTAAACAGAAAAATGAAACAAACACAACACAGTGATACAGAACATAGAAATTATTAACAGTCTTTAAATCTCCTTTATAAATGCTTTACAAGGCATAACTAGTCCTCACTTTAGATGAGCTCACAAACATAGTTAACTGACCACTACTAAATGCTTTATAACTACCTGAATTAACCCTGAATTACAGTATAAATACATGTTAATAAAGCATTTATTAACACACCAAGTAACTATTACTATATGTCTGAATAATAAGATGTATGAATGTACATTTAAATAGTTTATTAGTCATTTACTTACACTTTCTAAGTAACGTTCTGAACCACTGACAACTTTTACATAACTGGTTTATAAATAATGCAATACTTCATTTAGAAATGATAAATTGATCATTAATAGAGAATGAAAATACAATTTTTAAACACACTATAGATATGCTTTTAAATCAAGAATAAAGCATTTATAGCTGTATTTATAAACTGCTTATTAATGTCTGTTAATGCTTTATAAATGATGAATTAACTGTTTACTAATGCTTAACTAATGATTAATAGCGTGCAGTTATTATAAAGTGTTACCCATTTTCCTAACATTAAGTTAAAAAACACATCATTTCTAAATGATCTCCGAACGTTCAAAACGCCATTTTGTAAAAATGTTTTAAAAAGGTTTCTCTTACGTGATCGTTAATCGAACGTTCCATTTCATCGTTCTTCAAACATTATTGGAACGTTGCTTTAGAATGTTCTCTGAACGTTCCGAAAACAAGTTGTTACATTTAAAAAAACGTTATAGGAAACGTTTCTATGAATGATGTAGCCCATAAATAATAACATTCTATAGCAGAAGTCAGTCCATAACATTGAAATGGCGTTTCCAGAACGTCCTGTTATACTCCCGCTCGTACAGGAGTCGTGATAGTGAGGCTCACCCAGAGTAGCCAGGACGTGTCTGAGTTCAGCGCCCATCACCGTCCCGTTCCCCTCTTTGTCGAACACCCGCAGGCCCTCCACGAAGTCCTCGAAGGTGCCGCGGTCTTTGGCCTTGCAGATGTGCTGGTGCATGGGCAGGAACTGGTCGAAGTCCAGCATCTTCACCTGCATGTCTGACCACAGAGCCGCAGATGAGTCGGCAGGACAGGTGTGTGTGTGTGTGTGTGTGTGTGTGTGTGTGTGTGTGTGTGTTTTCCAGGGGTCAGGGTCTCACCTTCAGCCTTGGGCTTGCCTAAGACGTGCATGACCTCGGCGTTGGTGGGGTTCTGGCCCAAGGCCCGGATCAGGTCTCCGCACTGGGCGAAGGTGATCTTCATCTCGTTGGTTGGTGTCCTGTCAAACAGCTGGAACGCATCCTTGAAATCTGCAGGCACAGGATCAGTTCCTCAGGCACACGGGACACTTGGCCTGTTGTTATGGCCTCTTCCCCAGCACATATGTTCCTAACCGTCGTAAATCAGGTCTCGTGTGAACGCTTAAACACTCAAGACTCATCCTGGGAAAACTGCTGAAATTGGTCATTGCTTTTCAAGAAAACGGTACTTTAAAAATTCCAGTGGCTCACACTCTAAAAAATGCTGGGTTGTTTTAACCCAAATTTGGGTCAAATATGGACAAACCCAAATGTTGGGTTAAAAATGTAATTTAAAATTGTAACCCAACTTCAACTTTCACTTTCAACTGTACATTTTTTAATTACATTTTTTAACCCAACATTTGGGTTTGTCCATATTTGACCCAAATTTGCATTTTTAGAGTGCAATTTTTAGGATATCAACATCAAATTTGGAACACAACTTGTTTTTCAAGCAATTTTACAGGCCAAATTATTTTGTAAAATATATTTTGTATAAATGTTCAGTACATTTGCTTAAACTGCTATAACTTTTTATGGAGCTTGTGATTTTTGCAGTGATTGTTACAGCATGTCGAAACATAATTTCATTATTCCATATTTTGTCTCCCCCCCCCCCCCCCCCCCCCCCATTTAAAATATCTAAACATCCTTTAAAAGAAAAACATTTTCTTTTTTCTCGAAAGAGAATTGTAAGAGTTGAGAGAATATATATTTTGAATAAAACTTCCTTGTGCCGATATTCTGAATCATCAACATGCATTGCTTGCATTAAATAAAATGCATCACATAAAATACATTCAATAAATGTAATATTTTAACATGCGCAAACATAATGCATACACAAACCGGACTTACCCTCAATCTGCTCCGCAGTGAATTCAAGCTGTCGAGAGAGAAAAGCAAAAATCAAACAAACAATCATACAAACGCCTGAGGTTGAGTCAGTAACACAGAAGGCTAGATGTCGGAGATGTGATTATTAGTGCGCGCTGGTATGTGTCCTTCAGGACGTCTCCGGAAACTCAAGCTCCTGTGACTCATTGTCCTAAAGCATGTGTGAGCCGCCGGGCCAGGGGAGTGTGTGGCCCGTCACCCGACACCACTGTTGTCAGGGTTGAAGACCGCGGACACATGACACTCACAGCATGCTCTGCACGGAAACATGCCAAAACATGAGCCCTAGTGAGGACACAGCGAGGATATATCGCCCTAACACTGCAACTGCAGATTCAAAGGCGTAACTGAGTGTATTCTGAGTGAAAGGAGTTAAATCTTGAAACCCGATGCTTCTCTGCCATTTAAAGCCAGTGTATGTGATTTGTCTGAGTTCACTGCATAACCAATCGCGGAAGCACTGCAACTAGATGCTCATACTGTAAATGATTATTCTCAGGAATCGTCTCATTAGAAATGTGTTATATTCGATTGACATGCTTGCTTTACGCCTTCACTGAAGCTGTGTATGGATGTGAAACCGCTGTGGCGTTTGGGTGGTCCGGTCTCGGCCAGCGTAATCTAAATCACATTGTGTGGCCCAAACCTCAGTGCCGTGCAGCATAAATGATGGCTTCTCAACCTCAACATTTCAGACTATGGAAATGTGGCGTAGAGTGGCGATGCTGACCACTGACATCTCTTGTGTTGTCGGAAACTTCCACCATTTCACTGGCAAAACCGAACTATCACTAGAGCTGCACAGAGAGCGATATGCCATTGGGTTTCACAGATGATATGTTTGAGACCATTGCTTAAATATGTGTAACTAATGCGAGTTGCTGAAACATTTGTGTGTGGGAAAGAGGTTTTCTGATATAACATGTCTTCTCGGGTCAGTTCTGAGCTCTGCAGATTAACACGTACACCACACACGGCCAAACACAGCTGGGTGGATCACGTACAGACGCTTCGCCAAAGGAGTTCGTCCATCCCTCAACGGCAGCTTGTACTTTTGGACGCACTACCCCCCGTTCTTCAAATAGTGCGCGGACCATGAGGAAACCTGCGGGTGTCTCCCTAATCCAGAATGAGTAAGGGTGCGTTTACACGACAGTGATACGCTTAAAGCGGAGACGTTTCTCCTTTGAGTTTTCTGCGTACAGACGACACCAGTGTCAAAGCGATCCCCATTCACTCGGATCCGCGGAAACGGCTGAAAGCGCTGTATTCTGCTGCCAGGCCAGTCGATGGCGATGAAACACTGTAGACTGAACACGTAATGCACTTTGAAACCCGTTTTCAAAAGTTTGTAAACGAACGGCCTTACAAGTTTTACAGTTTTAGTTGAAAACGGTGTCGTGTAAAAGCCCCTGAAACTCAGATCTACGAAGAGAAAGCGCTAAAAGTCTTACAGTAGATCAGCAGCAGCAGGAAAGATAGCAATCATGTTCATGTTTCTCACAATAGTTAATGACTCAGGGGCCGTTTACATGACACCGTTTTCAAATTAAAAAAACGTAAAACTTTTTATGCGTTTTGGCCGTTCGTTTACACAACAACGCCATTTTGGGCGCCTGAAAACACAAAGCACTTTTAAAAAACGGGTTTCAAAGTGCAAGTTCATGCGTCATGCGTCGCCATCTACTGGCCTGGCCGCAGAATGCAGCGCTTTTAGCCGTTTCACAGATCCGAGTGAATGGGGATCGGTTTCACACTGGTGTCGTCCGTACGCGGGAAACTCAAAGGAGAAACGTCTCCGCTGTAAGCGCGTCGCTGTCGTGTAAACACACCCTCAGTGCACACCAAACTACACTCTAAAACATGCTCGCTTGTTTCAACCCAAATTTGGGTCAAATATGGACAAACCCAGTCGTTGGGTTTAGCTTTTAATCTAGCATTTGGGTTTGTCCATGTCCATATTTGACCCAAATTTGGGTTGAAACAACCGAGCATGTTTTAGAGTGTAGACACATATTCAGGTTGATAGGAATGAAAATGCAAACTCGTTCAGTAAACTGTCCGAATGTGTTTGGGATCTGAGCGATCAGCGGGGCTGGAGGTGTGTGTGTGTGTACACTCTACAAAATGATGGGTTGTTTTAACCCAAATTTGGGTCAAATATGGACATGGACAAACCCAAATGCTGGGTTAAAAATGTAATTTAAAATGTTAACCCAACTTCAACTTTCACTTTCAACTGTACATTTTTTAATTACATTTTTAACCCAACATTTGGGTTTGTCCATATTTGACCCAAATTTGGGTTGAAACAACCCAGCATTTTTTTGAGTGTAGGTGGTGTGTGTGTAGGTGTGTGTGTGGAGGTACCTGCACTTCTGCGGGGTTAAACTCCGGCACCTTGGGCGGCTCGGGCTCCGGGGGCTTGGGGGCCGCGGCGGGCTTGGGCTCTTCCTTCTTCTTGGGGGCCATGCTGATGTTCACGGAGCCACACAGAGACAGGCTAGGACACACTCTGGGTACAGCACTGGGCAACGGGGCCGGGCTTTATCCTCCAGCAGCAGGTGAGGCCGGCCCCCGGCTGTCCCGGGATGGTGCCAAACACACAGAGGAAGGCCGTAAAAGGACAAGCGCTAATGCTTCTATTTGAGACACATTGTTCTCTCACAATAGACCCTGCCGTGCGTCTGTACAGGGCCATGGAGACTCCAGCGTCATGGCATACAGAGAAATGCATGCGTTCTGGGCATCTTCACACTTTAAACTCATAAACACATTTGTACTGAGAGATTTAAAATCGCTGGAATGGTTTCCGGTTCGAGGTGGAATGATCAGTGACATATTTTACAGTGTCCTTGTTACATATGTTACATGTACTTACCATAGTAATATCAGTAAATTATGCATAATTACACTCTAAACAATGCTGGGTTGTTTTAACCCAAATTTGGGTCAAATATGGACAAACCCAAATGTTGGGTTAAAAATGTAATTTAAAATTTTAACCCAACTTCAACTTTCACTTTCAACTGTACATTTTTTAATTACATTTTAACCCAACATTTGGGTTTGTCCATATTTGACCCAAATTTGGGTTAAAATAACCCAGCATTTTTTATGCAACTAACCCTCAACCAATCCTAATCCTGCCCTGAGCCTATAGTAAGTACATGTAGTTTATTAATATTACTCAGAGAATGATTGCTGAATGATCTCCTGCTGTCTGTGAGGTCAGTAAAGTCACTACTGGTAAAAGCACATCTGCTAAAGTCTAATCACAGCCAATTCAAAACTTTGTCAAAAATAATATGAATTATTATATAATTAAATTTAAATCTCCAAATCAGAAAAGTACATAGCGTTCGAAAATGCATTGAGACTTTTTGCATTGTGACATTATTTTTATGACCATTACCACGCAGTTCTAATTAATTAATGTTCTATATTTCCTAGGCATTTGTTAACAACATGTATTCATGACTTCAATGAGCTCATTGTTTTCTGCTTTAAATGAATACAATGTTTAGTTAACTGTGTGATTTGTAGTTTTCTGAAACATAACTCCGACAGTCTGATAACAGATCACGGTAACGCTGGCGTTTTCTGCAAAGCTGCTTTGAAACGATGTGTACTGTGAAAAGCGCTATACATATACACGTGAATTAATGTTACATTTGAGTTATTTTGATTAAAGACCTTCTTCAGGCATTTTGTACACTTTTGTTACTTTTTTTTGCACAACAGCGATGAAGTTAAACAATTATTGTAGTAATAATACAGTATATTTAATCTCCTAACAAGTCTTTGTTTTCCTCATCCAAAAGCATCACTTCTTATTATCTTATTCTTATCAACCGTTCAAAACGGTTTGAGGACATTATTAAAGACCAGATAACTGTTATCAAAGGTTATATTAGCGTTTCTGGAGGAAGATGTGATCATAACTCTGAAGAACGTTCCCTCGGCCTCAGCTGTCTTCAGGCGGTTCCCAAAATTGTATTTATTTTTTCCTCCCTAATATTGTAAATACTAAAACTACTATATAAATAGCATTATGCATTTCAGGTGATCACTATAGATTACATTTGTCTAAACTGCCCTTGTGAAAATAAATACATTTATGTTATTCTAAGTACACTACAAATACATTTACATATTTATGTACTTAAAATAAATACCCTGCAATTGTATCTTTAGTACTAAACAGTCTGTCCAGAAATAGTGCTGAGGTCCAACTAAAGATATACTGAAGTATATCTGATTGTGCTAAAGTGGAACTATTGCAAGGATATACTTTAGGTTCACTTTAAATATCTTAGCAATATTACATGATCAGCAACCCTAACACAATGTCATATTTAATACGTTGTATGGTAGCAAGGAAATGTTTGATTTGTAAAGTGGTTGAGATCTCTTCTGAAGCCCACGAGTCTGCAGCTCAGGATCATCTGAACACAGTGTGTGATGTGGTTGAAGTCTCTTCTGAAAGGTGTGTGTTGCTGTCAGACTAAAGCCTCCGTGTGATGTTCACGGACATCATCCAAAAACTGGAGTGGCGATTCTCCAGCGAAGACCACCAGCAGCTTCACACACGTGTCACAGCTGATCAACTCTAGACGGCTCCACACACACCGTCTATGGCAAGCCGTTTTAATTTTTATTCATTTCCAGGATATGAATACTTGATATCAACAATTACATTTTCACTAGTTAAAATTATAATTATTGATATCAGGAATAATATTTCTACTAGTAACAATGGCAATTTTTGATATCAGGAATTACATTTTCACTAGTAACAATGCTAATTCTTGACATCAACATTTACATTTTCACTAGTTAAAATGATCATTCTTGATATCAACAATTGAATTGCAACTAGTAAAAACTATAATTCTTGATATCTGTAATTGTATTTTCACTAGTGAAATGTTACCATAGGCTGCCATTCAAAATCAATTCTTGATATCAAGAATTGATTTCTTACTAGTTGAAATTCCAATTTCACATATCAGAAATACAATTCTTACTAGTAAAAACCTTTATTTTTGATATCAAGAATTAAATTGTCACTAGTTGAAATGTCTATTCTTGATATCAACAATTGAATTGCTACTAGTAACAATGTTCATTTTTGATATCAATAATTCAATTTTCACTAGTGACAATGTTAATTTCTGATATCATGAATGTGATTGTTCCTAGTAAGAAATACATTTTCAGATATCAAAAATGAAATTTTTTACTAGTAGCAATTCAGTTGTTGATTTCAAGAATAGACATTTAGACTAGTGATAATTTAATTATTGATATCAGGAATTCACATTTTTACTAGTAACAATGTAATTATTGATATCAAAAATGATATTTCTACTAGTAAGAAATCAATTCTTGATATCAACAATTGATTTTGAATGGCAGTCTATGGTGACATTTCACTAGTGAAAATACAATTGTTGATATCAAAAAATGTAATTGTTGATATCAAATATGTAATTGTTGATATCAACAATTCATATCCTGGAAATGAATAAAAGTTAAAACGGCTTGCCATACACCGTCAGCTTCACACGAGCGAGTCACAGCTGACTCCTGATCAGTGCACACACACACCGTCACACAACTGCCGGTCCAACGCTTTCTGTAAGATCCCAAGATGTTTAATGTTTTAGAAGAAGTCTCTTCTGCTCACCGAGGCTGCATTTATTTGATTAAAAATACAAAAAACAATAATATTTAGAAATATTATTAGAATGAAAAATCAGCTGTTTTCTATGTGAATATACAGTAAAAAGTACACTGTAAAAAATAAACCGTAATTTTTACGGTAAAAAACTGGCAGTTGTGGTTGCCAGAACTTTACCGTCAAAAATACGGTAGCAACGTTATTGGTTTTACAGACTTAACTTAAAATTTACAGTAATAAACCGTATTTTATTATCTGATATAATGTTAATTTACCATCCTATTGAAGTATTAATATCTGTTTTATACCATTGTAACATACTGACTACCACCAATCTCAGCAGAGATGAAAGTCACATGATCAATAAAAGCTCATCACAAGCAGCTCTTCCACAAGAGAATTAATACTATTATAGAAGCTGCACGGTGTAATTCACACTAACACTAAACACCATCATGGTAACATGTTGAAATTTTAAAACTTCAGTAAACGTTAATTTAACAACATTAAATATAACATGAAACCCTAATGTACATAACTGATTAGAAAAAGAAAACTATGAAGAAAGTTATTTTAACAAAAATACATCAAATGTGAAGTGTCATGCAGGGAATTGTGGGAATGTAAATTTACGGTTTTTCACTGTAAATTATACAATGAGTTGCTCTTTTTCACTTTCAAAAACTGTAAATCTAACGGTATTTTACAGTAAAATTACATTAAATGTACCGTTAGATCTATCACAGTTATTTACCGCATATAGTACGGAAACTTTCTGTTAACCAATTAACAGTTTTTCACTGTAGCATTTTTACAGTCTTTTACCGTTAAAATCACGATAATTTTTTACAGTGTAATTTATTCCTGTGATCAGAGCGGATGTTCAGCATCATTACTCCAGTCTTCAGTGTCACATGATCCTTCAGAAATCACTCTGATATGAGGATCTGACGAAACATTTATGATTATTATCAGTGTTGAAAACAGTTGTGTAAAACATTTTGTTTGGTATTCTTCGATGAAAGATCAAAAGAAGAGCATTTATCTGAAATAGAAGCTTTTGTAAGATTATAAATGTCTTTACTGTCACTTTCGATCAATTTAATGTATCTGTGCTGAATACATGAATTAATTTCTTTAAGTCCCCTTTTAATTCTTACTGAGCCAAAACTTTTGAACGGTAGTTTATAATGTTGCAAAAGCTTCTATTTCAGATAAATACTGCCCTTTTGAACTTTCTATTCATCAAAGAATACCAAACAAAATGTTTTACACAACTGTTTTCAACACTGATAATAATCATAAACGTTTCTGGAGCATCAGATCATCATATTAGAGTGATTTCTGAAGGATCATGTGACACTGAAGACTCTTAAATTGTAACATTTTTTCACAATATTTCAGTTTTTACTGTATTTTTTATTAAATAAATGCAGGCTTGATGAGCAGATGAGAAGAGACTTCTTATTTTGACCGGCAGTGTATAAATATTACTTTCAGTGTTTTGAAGGAAACTGTTAATGGACCCTCGACCAGTTTCCTGGCTTTAAGTGCCTAAACCTGCAATTAAACCAGACAATACACCATATCGCTGCCACCTGAAGCTCTTCACAGATGGACAGATCTCTGCGCACGGGTATATATGGCTCAACACCGGCTGTGTGAAGACTATATCAGGTCATTCTGCACATGCCAGCCATGAGACCGCAGAAGACAGGCTTGTAAACCATGCAAGATCTGTTATTTTAGCAACGACCTGTTGTTCTCTTGGTATGAACGCTAAATCACAATGGCGATTGTCATCTGAGCCCGTCTTCAGTGACCTTCACATCTAAC